ATGCAAAATAACTAATGTTTGTTTCGATTATTTTGGGGAAAGATATAAACTTTTCAATGAATATCGTTATACTTATTTCTCATAATGAATATACTTACTTTTTGAAAAATAAGATTCTAAATCATGTAAGAGAAGAAATGAAAACAGATAACAGCATAGATTATGTAACTTACAAAGCTGTTAAAAAAGTTCATAAATCTTATAGTGGTTTTAACATAAATATTTTAATTAAATTTCTAAACAACATTTGTAAAGGCATATCTCCGCATAAGCCTAATTTAAAATTGAAACATTGTTATCTTATGAAATAATTTGTTATGAATAATATGAAATAATTGTTACATCATGAAATAATGTAATTAATAAACTGATTAAGAATTAAAGATAAAAAAAACTAGCGTGCCATTGCACTACCTCAAGAGTACTGTAAAAATGTGTGAACAAATTATAAATATACACATTAAGGCCGTGATGAAAGAGGACTAGAACAAGCTTTGGAGCGTTGCTCAGACAATGTGCTTCGAAATTATAAAGGGACTAAGGGGTTTTTTTTTTAAAGTGTTATGAAATCTGCGAAAGGGGGAGGTGCAAAAAAGTGATATAACTAAAAATTACATATTTGATTTTATTTTACCTCATTTAGAGGTGCGACTGAAAAGTGGCTGAAGAAAATTCTTAAAAGTTGTGAGGAGTGCTCATTGGGTTACATGATTGCGAGGGGCGCATAAGGGAGAACTAAGCAAAAATGTAAGTTAACAAAAATGAGGTAAAAACCTAAATAATTTTACCTTATCTCGAGTGGGCTCTTTGAAATGAGATGTTTGGGCTGAGGGGGTGGTGGGAGACTTGCCAAAAATTTAACTCAATAAAAATAAGGTAAAAACCGATAGAATTTTACCTATATGATGGCGAGCTGAGGGCGTGGAAAGGGAGGTGGATGGGGGATGAGGCACTCTTCCTCCTTACAATCGTACGTAAATTTCAGAATTTCTTTGTGTGCTACTAGTACTACATAATTACTTATAAATACATTTTCCTTTTTTTTTTCTTTTTTTTCTTATTGTTTTTCATATATGTAAAGACATTATACAGTTTATTATAGAATCAAATTGTTTATTATGTTTCTTTTTTTCACGTCAATACTATTACCACTGTAGCCATATTATCATAATGATTTCTTTTATAACTTTTTTCAAAATTTTGTTTTGTGTTCTTCTACAATACAAAGTTTTCTAGGCAATTTTTTTTTTTGTTTTTATCAAATTATATGGTACCCTACGCTACTAGGACACAAAGTACAAACATAAGCACCCGAAGGGCGTGGTTGTTGTATGATGCTGCTGGAGTTGCGTATAATGTTTTCCTTATCGTACTGAGGGTGCAAAAAACTTTAATGCCCGTGTGTTCAAAGTGATCACAAGGGCGCAAAGTGGCAGTTGCACTTCGTGTTTGTGGTAAGGAAATTTAATGTATCTATTAATATACGTATAGAAAAACTATTTTTTTATAGAAAAATGCATCTTTGAAATTGTTTGTAAACATGATTACTATTTATGCACAAGTGTTAAGTTCTTAACCAAACTAAAAAAATTTTATTAACCTAATGACCATGTTATTCTTTATTGTTAGTCGCTGTAGCCTAGCTGATCTTCTCGTGGCAGATCACCCTGCACTTGGATGATTGTCGGTTTCAGTGGTTTAGCATTTACGACGTTTCCGTCTCTTGTAATATTATTTCTGTCTCGTATACCTACGAACATTCTTGACAAATTTAGTATTATTGACCATTTTCTGTGTACATAATGCTTATGCTAGTTTTCTCATTACATATTATTGTAACGTCATTATTTACTTTACTTACTTAAGGGAACTATAAAGTGAATATTATAATGTGTTAGTTGCATGAGTGATTAAATTATATTTGAATATTTGACTTTGTTTTTATTTTATTTATTTATTTAGATATCAATTAAGGGTTCTCTCGTAGCTATTTTAAACAATTTCTTTTCTTTTTGCCTAGGACTGAGTGTATTTTTAGGTACAGAATCCAGACAGGTCGTTAAAATTTTTAGTTAATAATCTGTTGGTTTTTTGTCTTTATTCTGGAAAGAAAGGTGTATGTTTGCTTGCTTGAACTTCTTTTATCTCATCACTTATTAAGTTATGTTTTGCACTGTTTTGTATGTTTTTTTTTTTTTTTTTTTTTTTTTTTTTTCTTTTTTTTTTTTTTATGGTAGGGTGGGCATTTGCTGGAAAGTGAGTTCGCTGTTTTAGTAGCAGGTTTGCCTAATTATTTCAGCAAATTGTACTATGGCTTATATTACAGCTGAATATTATAACTCATAGTTGCTGTAGGTTTTTCGGAACTTAAGTGGAAGTGCGTCTGCTCTTGGAATATTCTGACATCGTTTATAAGAGATATGTACTATTTTCTTGAGTACCCTTAATTATACAGATACGTATGTATATGTACATGTATATTTATTTTCAGATTTATTCCGTTGTCATTGTATTAACGAATATTTTTCGCCAGAAATTTTAGTAATAGTTGATCGTCGATTACTGTTCAGTTTAATATCATAATTAATTATGCAATCATAACTTTTTCTTTATGATCATAAGGCAAACGACTTCTTAAGTTGAACAATAATCGATTTATTTTTGTCATTGATTTTGTTAGCAGGTGAGAAGTACAATGATCTTTATAAATGAAGTAGTTGAGGAATTATAGCTGAGCTCCTGAGTAATCAAAATTCCCAAATTCAACTGTATTTCTCGATAATTTAAATAAAAGTATTTTGAAAATAAGTTTTTTTTTGTCTTAAAAATTTGCATACTCTACATCCTTTGAAATCTATTAATTATACAGATCTGAAGTTGGCCACATTCACCTCTAAGTGTATTTGTAAATATTTTGTTGTTAATTTTTTTGTTTGTATTGATGGTTACATGTTTCTTGTATTTATTAGTATTTTTTCTGATTTACGGGTTTTTTTTTCACATGGAAACAAAATAGTTTTTTCATCTATGTATTTAAAGGTAAAAGTGTAATTTTGTTATTGTGAATAATGTTCCTCATTAATTCTAACAATTCATTTTTAACGAGTGCAAAATATGATGAACTAGTTATTTGTGCAATGATTTGTCTTTTCGAATGTTGAATGTACAGCAATTTGCCGTATAAAAATTTTTGACGTGTATTTTTCTCTTTTTTTTCTCAATACATTTAATTGAGCATGGCTAAGGCATCGTATGATAGAAGTAGATTGCATGTATGTTTTAATTACCATGCCATTTTATTTTATTTGTCTGTATTATATTTATTTATTATTATTTCCAAGTTTTCTATGTCCATTTAAAGCGTTTTTCAATTTTAATTTACTTTTGTTATATTTTACGTGGTGCGTAAAGGCGCCTTGGAAGATGAAGAGGCAAGCTTGCTTAAATTTATCTTTCTTCACTTCTTTCTCTTATAGATAAATATGTAAATATACGTTCAGAGAGTTTTTTTTGTATGACTCATTTTTTCATATCAATTATCTAGCTCGTCCAAGGGCCGCGAAAGAGGAAAAGTTCCCGAGAGAGGAAGTGCTAATATTATCTATTCTTGCTTTATATTTTTTGGTAATGCTTATGTCTGTGAGTAAACGTCGAGACGGAAATATAAGTTCCTGAAGTGCGTAGCCTATGTCTGGTGCCCCAACGTATTGTAAGCAAGCATATACAAAGGTAATAGCTCGTCCCGTTTCTCGGTCTCGCTGACGTAAGCTTTCAAGTATTTTGTTAAGACGTTACACCGTGACTCTAAAAGTGAAATGCCGTGCTCCCAAGTTTTTTAATTTTGAATAACCGCGTAAACTCATCCATTATTTTATTCATAAAATGTGTCCGTTAGTCCTATAATAACTTTTCAGGCTCTCCAAGTATGTTACAAATTTTTTCGTTAGGCTTTTACGTTTCTTCAGCTGTTACTTATAGCCATTTAATGAAGGCCTGTTAATAATCGAGATTTTCTCAAACGCTCCACTAGTCATGTCGGTCATAAGCATAACTTGCTTTGATTTTATACCCACTAATTTCCCCGTCTGGCACGATATGCACCCGAGTACAAATTGCCTCTTCTCGGCCCTCATGTTCCTCCAATAATAGTCTCTCGCTATGTTTAACTTTGTAATGTAATGTACTATTTTTAGTATCTTTTCACCAGTTTTGGCGAATTTAATTTAACTATTAGATATTTGTACAGTTTTGATAAGTAAGACTGTGGTGGTTCAAGTTGCAAACGTTGAAAAAAATAAAAAAACAGTTTTTTTTGGCGTAAATTTTATTTATTCTTTGATTATTTTTTTATTATTGTTATTATAGAGTGTTTCAAAATATGTGCTCAACTGATGTGTACGTATGCGCATGCAATTTCAGATCTCTTCGATCATACTGAGCTGAGTTATAATCAGCTCATTACAAAATATGCCAATCAGTCTATGTAATTCGTCTAAAAGTTTTTAATCAATCATCTTTTAACGTTAAGTTTAGCTCACACCCTTTCGATTTTAAACAGATATTTCTGGTTGTGGCCGGCTTCAAAAATGTAATATTTGAAAATATAAAGCCCTTCTTCTATACTCATTTACTCCTTGCTAGCTGTCAACACCAGACATCACTTTTATGTTCATTATACCGATACTTTGTATTACATATCTTTAAAAGTTATGCTTACTCTTGCATAGTTTTTATTGCCTTACTTGATGCACCATACGTAATTAGTCACATTTTTAAACGTTTTAAAATTTTTCAAAGTGCGAAAAACCTTTTAGTCTGTAAAAAATTTTAATAAGGAAGGAGAAAAGCCTAAAAGTCATCTCAAAGTTTCACAACTATATTTTAAAAGAAAATATTCTTACATGTACTTATAATAATTTATTCTTACAAATCTACGGAGTTCTGATTCATACGCTCAGAGTACCATCCATTTAATTCAACTATGTAAATCTGTTTTACAGGTTAGAGAAGGACAACCTTGAACTGCGAAGACAAAAAGACAGTACAAATGAAGAAAACTATTCCTTACACTTACAGGTACAACAAAAGAACTCGGAATTAGAACGTCTGAAGACAGAAATAACTGCTCTCAGTTCTCAACTTGAAAGTGCAATAATTGCCAAATGTCAAGCACTAGCTATTGCTGAAGAAGTAAAAAGCCAAGAAATATCTTTAGATTTCAGGTACATTTTCTTTATAATGCCCGTTTTTATCATAATTGCTAATAATTATTAAATATCGTGATATTTAATTATAATGAAATAGAAATCTCTACATAAAGCGCAACTAACACGGTTGCATCGAAATAATTTTATTAAAAACCAATATTCTCATCAACAATTAACGTCATACCATTAATGCATTGATGCAGATATTAACTTTCATCTGTGTGAAAATCCCTCAATATTTACAACCAGATATTATTTTAGAATGTTTTATTCAACAGTTTTTTTTTTATTTTTTTTTTTTTTTATCTCTATCCACATGTATGCCGGATTTTAAGGTAGTAGTTTAGTAAAACGACTAGACGATACATTTTTCTAAAATTTTGCGCGTGGCTTAAGTTTGCTATAGTTCATCATGAGTCCAAATTTGGAGATGCCTAGCCGTGTAGTTTCGGAGATATTAAAGTCTTACTGTTAATCTTCTAACACGTGAGAGATAGGAAAGCGCCTGGTTTGGGGTAAGATTCAAAACGAAATCATTCATAACTCCTAAACGAAACGATCAATCCTTCCAAAAAAACGATATGTTATAACTGATATATAAATAAACTAAACACCAAGTCTCAAGAAGCCTAGCCGTACAGTTTTTGTATTTCAGCTTTCCAAAGTTAAAAACTATCGTGTAGTTGCGAGAAAGGGACAATAACAGCTGTACAGTAAAGACTGCATAACCTATGCATACTCTATAGCGCAGTATGACAACAAGTCAAGTCATTTTTGATAAAGTAAGCTTTAACAATTATACAACTGGTGGCCATCAGTTTGAATTACTGCGAGTGTTATTCATACGAACGATTTTTGTATAGATATACTGATTAGTCGAGTTCGAATAACACAAAAAAATCTTACACTTGAATCTTTTATCTTCATGTTAAAAGTAAAATTCTTATTGATAAAATCAACAAGCGCTCATCCTAGCTGTTTTTTATCACATTCTTTTGAGCTAATTTATATCATCAAACAAACAATTTAAGCAGCTGAGTATGCACACTAGGATTCAGTCAACTTGTAGCTTAAAAACTGGTAAGACGTCTGAGTAAACAGTTTTTTAAATTTTTGAAACATCTAAGAATATGGTCAATACGTTGAAAATTGACTGATAAAACCGTACAGTTTAAATAAAGTTATGGTCTAAAAGTGAATGCCTTGATGAAAAATAATTAAGATACATATTTGTTGTGTAAAATATAGACGAAGATATATGTATTCAGTCTTAAGTCACATTGACGAATTTATTGCGCATTCATGCTTCCACAAAATATGATTTTAGGTTTTGTTAAAGATTTGTAAGATAGTTGATAATGGAAAACATAAGCGTACACTTACAAAAACCAGAGAACGATTTAAATGCATTGTTGCGAACTCAAGTTTATGCCAAGTTTATGGCAATGACGCTTAACCCGTGGTTGCAGTAACTTGGAATTATTTTAAAGTAATAATGTCAAAGTTTAGGTAGCTTAGTCCTTACATGGTAGTGTCAGATTCACAAAAAAATTTGCCAATTAAATTATCTGCAAAAAGATAAGTTTATACTTACGAGTTTTTGAACTTCAGAATTATATGTTTCTCCTCTTATCTAGCACATCAATACTGATATGGACAGTTGGAATAGCTACGTTACTTTATTTAGCATTTCAACCTAATACCGTAAAAAACAGAAAAATGTTAGTGTTAGTATGTTTAATCATTGTAACATTAGAAATATGGAACGATTTTGAAATTCATAGTATTTGTGTTACACTGATCTTAATCGTTGAATAACACATAAGTATTATTCACAGCTATATGCTAATTTTCCAAATTCATTTTATGGTAAAGATTTTGCGTCTCTATTGAGCAAAGGGTACTTTCTCAACCGCATCTTGATTCGTCATTAGGCCCTCTAAGCAAAATGAGTCATTAAAAAATTCTTCAATAGATTTGTGATCATAACTTGACAATATAACAATTTTCTAGTAAACACATCAGCTTATTGTTTTACTTTAGATGCACATGCACATGTAGTCTGATAAGTATAAATGTTATGAAACTCACGTAGATTTAATTTTAGTTTTAGTCGTTTACCGATCATTGTAGAAACAAGATAAGAGCGTTAAGTATAAAAGTATAAAATAGTTAGTGTAATGAGTTGGACAAATAAGTTTTTGTTAATAAAACATAAAAAAATTAATAGATTTCGATATGCATACAAAAAATGTTTGTAACTCCAGAACTAAAGATAAGTATCAAAAGCTTTTAACTGAGCTATGATAAAAAAGAGAGAAATAAAACTTGATAGATTTAATCAACAAGCGATTGTACCCCAAGAACATAGGTTAAAAGAAAATGCTAAGTAATAGAAAAATAATAGTAATTATTAAAACAGAGAAAAATTACGTATTTTGTAGGTATGCACAAATATTTCTATTGGTAACACCCATTTCTTGGCAAAAATTAGCACAGATGCATTAACATTAAAATTTACATCTTAAAAATTGTTATCATGGACTTACTTGGAATGTTAGGAGTATTTTAATTGAAAAATTGAATAATTCTATAAAGATACTAGTTGTTGGAGAACAGATGCCAAAGTAGCTTAAAAGATTCGGCTTCCAGTCACTTCTATGGCAGACTGTTCCGCATTTAAACTTCCAATATTGGTCACTACATGCGTTTAACACAACGGAGCCTATAAATTTATGTTTTTGTTTTCATAATGTCAAGTAAATAAAAAAGTTCTACTTCAATATTGAATAAGATGGTATGAATAGTGATGTTCATAATAATAAGAATAAAGAGTTGTAAATATCAATAAATTTTGCTCCAAGAATACGATTAAATATATTTGACGAATTTATGTTGTAAATCATACGTATGTTGTGAATCTAGTTTTGGGACTGTAAATTTTTTAAGTTTAAAATAATACTACGTGATTTAACAAAACGTAAAATATTTAATAATTGTTTTCCTAACATTTCACATCGTACATTATCATAGAGCGTACTCACAAATTATAGATTGCCAAAGCAGTTTTTGCTAATCAAATAACTTGATAATTTTTTTTAATAAGAATACTTTCTCTTTGGCTTTAATTTTTAAAATATGTAATATTTTAATTGCAGTTGTCAATAAATAGTTTTCCACATTAATTTTTTGTAGAATGTTGTCTTTATCCTAACCTTCTGTATAATGTATAACTATCGTATGCACAAAACTCTGCAAATTCAAGTAGTCGGCGAAAACTTAGACATACTTTTTGTAGTCACTGAAATTGCAGCGTGCGCACAAAAATTAATGTAAACTACAGATCGTGCTCACCTGTTGGCTGTAGAGAGGGCTACTTTATCTCAGACGAGGGGCTAGCTTGCTCGTGGAGATGGAGCCTGCTAAACTCGTTTTATTTTATATATTAGCATAATAGAAAGCACCATTAACCATAAAAAAGCCTTTGTTTTAACGTCAGTAATAAATAATGGGTTAAAACTGATATTATATTCTGTGATGAAAATCCAGAACTTTCAAAACAATTTTCTATAGTATTTTCTGTACATTATAGTAACACATCGCACTTACATCATTTTGTGTTCATGAACTGACCAAGTAATAAGATAGCACAATGCCTTTAGACCCATTGTTGACGAAAATGTTTTTTTCAAAATTTATTTTCTATGAAAAATGCTACAGTAATATCTTACTAATATATAAAGCAAAGTCGCTAAAACCGTTGTAATCGCTAACCGTGAAAACTACTGAACCGATTTTGCTGAAATTTTGCACACTGATTCATGATACTTCCTAGATGTTTGAAGTATAGTTTTTATCTTACAAAATTTAATAACAATAGGAATAAATCAGCTCAAAGTTTTGCAGAAATACGCCAGCTTTTCGCTTTAGTTCAGTAAAATCCGCTAGGTGGCGTCGACATAAAATCGAGGCTACCTGCAACAGAATTAAATAAGTGTGGTTACAATACGCCGGAGCGTCTCGACAGTAATGTAGTCGTGCTTTGGCAGTTCAACGAGCTGTATAGAGAATGCTGATGATAGTCTTGCAGCTGGGTATTCCGGTTACGGACGACACTCTTCACTAAGGGGGAAGGGACCTAGGTGTCGATTCACCCTATATCTCGACAAGTGCGATCAAAAAAAAAAAAAAATTAATTCCAACCGATGCCGTCTCTGCCACAATACCAGGAGACATATCTAGCCAGAGCACAATCTGCACCAACTCTCTTCAGAGATGTGTGGCAGTCCCACCATCCCACCTGGTGCAGTTAAAAAATTTTTGGCTACAAATGTAAGCAAGGGAAAACAGCTCTGAGGGGCACGGGCAGCCACAACGTCTACCTTCTTGGCCGTCGCGTCCCCAATGCGCTTACCCACATGTTCCCGTCTAATGATGAGCAGTTGGTTATCCGGGGAACGACCTGAGACGAGATATTCTTTGGTCAGCGGCGTACCTCCCTCCATCACAGTCTTCGTACATCGAGACTCCCAGGGTAAGAATCAAGCAACTCGTAGCCAGCTCTTCATTATCAGGAATAACAATAAAGAATAGCCTGGAAGTTTCACCACTGGCGCTTTTTAGGGTCATTATAAGTATTTACGTTCCCTACTTAACTATCAATTTCATCGGTTCTTTTTAGGATCTACCTAAGTGTAAACTACCTTGCCAACAAATACATTTTTACTACCATTACTGGAAGCGATTCGTCGACTAAAAGACTATATTAACTAAAGACGGGCACTATTAAACCAAGTCAGCCAGTCACTAGCAGACGTCACCTGCGGAGTTGTTCTTCGCAAGGCTGGAAAACCTGGTGACCGACGACCCTATACTACCCTCTTGACTCTGAGCATTCAACCAGGAATCACTGATCCTCTCCAAGGTGTGCGCTGGGCAAACCTATAACAGCTATGAAGGAAAAAAAACTTGAGCCCATGGGACAGCCTCCACTGGATAAGTATCACTAACCAATC